AAACGCTTCAGCTTACGCACACTAATTTGAAGTGATTTGGCGATGGTGTAAAACAGCATTTTTTTTTCCCCACAAGGGTTCAAGTTATTGGAGAAGAGAACTGTCAGCTTCCCTAGAGAGCTTAAGCTTCATGACTACAGTGTGGTGGCAGGGAGAAAGAAAGTTGTTTCTCTACATTATCTGAAAGCACTGCATTCTAGCACATTCTTAACATTATCCCCCATAGGAAAACACTGGAGTCACGAAGACTGTGAAGGGTTTATGAGTATGCAAACCATTACAGCCCCTTTGTGGCTCATCTTTATTGTCTTCATCTTTATACATCAATACTTCTGTTTTATTTTCTTTAATGAAAAGAGGGTTTAGCAGGAGCCAGATGATTGCTTGGTACAATAAATCCTCCTTTCTTGTTGTTTTCGCTCTAGTCAGCAAATTCATGTCTGATGCTAACCATAAGGTAACTGGGCTGACACCGGACCTGGCCTCTGAAATTACAGGGCATTTGGGGACTCGTTGTCCATCAGGCAGCACTTCTTTCAGTCTGAATCACTAGTCTCCAGGAAAGCTGCTGCTTGTTTTATGGATCTCAGGATGTATTTATGTAAGCAAGAGAAAATGGGGATAGTAAGAGTGAAATAACTGAAAGGAGAAAGGGAATTGTGGAAGAAATGATCATAAAGAAGAGGAGCTCAGAATATGAAGACTTCATAAGTCTATGGTAGAGAAAAAAGAAAACAAAGATACAAAAAAACTAGAGAAATAGGAATAGTTTAAAAAAAGAAAAGAAAAGAATACCATGGGGTAAGAACAAATACCCCTGACATTTCTTTAATTTCTACATGAATGCAAATCTAATTTTTGTATTTCAGCCATTAATGATGCTCCAACTTCCATACAAATTTAATCCCTGAAATCTGTGTTAATGGAGTTATTTATTATCATTTAGTACTGTGGCATCTCACAGATGTTCAGAACAGTTTCAGCATGCTAAACATTGGACAAGTCTGTGTGACATTCCACACGATCTTCAACCATCTATTTCTGTTCGTATCTTTTAGAGAGGGTTTATGGAACTTTCTAAGGTTGCCTGGCAATGGCAAATCTTGTGGTAATAGTTTTCAGGCTGAGCAGAGATGTAAAACTTCATACCAGTCTTTCTTTCCTGGTGAGTATAAAATCTGAGGACAAATTTAATTCTAATGACTTTTTCCACCTGAAAATGAAGATTGCATGGGCAGAGTTAACTCTGGCATTTAATGGTGAGATTTTTTTCACTGTGATATTTATGCTAACCAATTTTTGTGATGGAATCCCTTGTAAAAGTTCCAGTAGTAATAAAAGACACTATAAAATAAGGCTTCCATTTTACAAGGTACTCTGTGAAATAACGTAAGATGGCTTTTGCCACAATGACTATATCTGCTAGAAAGATAAGAAAGTGAAACCATCTGTTAAATATAAAAATACAGTCATTAAATTGGTAAATGTTCTGATACAACTTGAACAAACTGATAGGACTTGAACAGACTAATACATGTGAGGTAACATTCTTTGGTTTGCTTGTTTTTTTTTTTTTTTTTTTTTATTAGTCTGCACATCCTGAAGACAGTAATCACAACTGTACCTCTTCTTTATTTTTGCAAGTTCTCTGTGGAGTCAATAACAACCTTCAGCAAACAATCCACAGTGCCTAGGATAGAATTCTGCTCTGAGGCATCATTCACAAGAACCTGTTTCTTTTTACTGATGACAGAGGAAATTGTGAAGGATTAGCCTCAAAAGACAGAACTTAAACAGTGCCTATACCAGCCTCAATCTTGTCTTTCAATTTCAATGTAGTTTTGACTTTGATTATACTTTTTTTGTGTGTGTCAGAATTCAAGTCTTTTCAATTTTAAAAGTGTTTTTTCTCTTTTCTCTTCTAGACAACTGTAGGCAAGATAGCTTTGCAAGGTGGTGAAAACTCAGCCCCCAAAAACCACTCCCAAGCACTTTATTTATCCATTATTTGCACTGTTGATTTGCTTGAGTCACTATGTTTCTAATTCACACCTACCATAAACTACGAACACCTTTTATTTTTCCCTGGACTGGCCACTATTTCAATTCCCATTACTCTGGGATATTACAACTAATACCTGCTAGTAAATAGGTTGCAGAACACGTTGTGGGGTTTTTCCAGTCAGTGGGTGTTTTCTCTTACACTGAAATCACTGATGTTGGGGTTAAGTGGTTCAGGACATAAACATAGAGGATTGCAGCATCTTCAAAGTAGCCAGTGTCACTTTCTCTGCTAGAAAACCATAATTTTCCTGCCTGTTGACATACTTGTAGCATTCTTGTTTCAAGCATTTAGCAAATTCTTGCAAAATTCCAGATTCCATTGCTATAAAATATGGTTGTTTTATATAGAAAAAAAGCCAGGAGCAGAGGCAAATAAAGAGGTCAAATCAGAACTTGTATTTGTGGTATTTTTAAATTGTAGTCTATTGTAAAATGGACAAATGTCTCAGTAGCTTTGTATAAGCCAACGATCACTTACTGCACAGGTTAAACTAGTTTTTCTGCACAATTGCCCAGCAGAGCTAACAAAGCTGAATCTGCAGTCCTGAGAGACACGGGAGGAAATAAATCCCTTATCTGTTAAAAAGATACAGCGGTGTACAGGAGATACGAAGGGATGTTAAATCAAGGTCTGTGCCACCACATGTACTTTCAAAGTGATATATTTTTAAATCCACTTAAATTACAAGAGCAAAATTTTCCTAATGCAGTACTGAAGGTACAGAGTAAAGTGCAAAAATGCAATTTAAACGTTTGTTACTGTAAAGATTTTCTTTCCTGTGTGAATGTTTTAAAAAAAAAAATGATCTCAGTAGAAATGTGCCTTGAAAGAGGAGGGGAAAACCCATCACTAAACCTCCACAGAAGATTTTCAGGACTCTACAAAGACTGCAGCCACTGCCTTAAGAGCTATGGAAACAATCAAGATGGTGAAACAGTGAGTCTTGCTGTCATGCAAAGATAACTGGGGGAAGTAGAATCCTTTACATGACATGTGTGTGCTCTTGCTGCTGGCTTTACTCTACTGGGTAGACAGTTGCTTGCTACTGGCTGTGATGTGGGATGAGTTCAGTATGGCTTTAGGGTAAAAAGGAGTGTCTGGCTTCATTTTCCAGGCATCCTTTATTTAGTCTAAGGGGAAGTCATCCTGCTTTATTTATGTTGTCTGCAATACGGGTGCTGAAGGCTTTCTGTATTAACTGAAAGTCCCGAAGTGCCCTATTAAGACAGCTGTAGCACTGCTCTGCATGGGAAACATAGCTGGAACTGAGATCTGGCCCTTCATCCTTCTGCGTGTGAAATGCTTTCTGCACCAGATTGTTTCCAGATTAAAGGCTGAACACACTGCAGCACGGGGAAAGTGGCAGGGCATGATGTAATTACAACTTCTGATCAAGTGATTTACACAGCTCAAATGAATTAGCAAATAGTATCCAAAATCAATATTGTGGCATTTCTTACAGCTGAAAGCATATTAACTCTTTAGTACTTCTAACTTGGAATAAAGAAACTTTTTACATCCAAAACACCAAGCAGCTGAATTATCCACTATAGAGAGTTCTTACATTCTTGTATTAGGATTAGAGGCAACTGTAGCACAGTCCAGAGATAAAAAAAACAGCCAACAAGTGTGTTTCAGTTCTACTAAGGATAATAAACAGGTTGGAGGTGAAACGTTGCAGCGAGGAGATAGAGATTCCTATCAGAGTTCAATAGAAAGTCTGGATCAAGAAAGATTAGCCATGTTTTATTTGTAATTAAGTGAATGAAGATGCATTTTTGACGCAAATATTGCATGTAAGAATGTAATTGCTTTATATGCAATGATTCTGTAGTTTACCATTCAGGTCTTTGACTGGTAAGCATGTTAACCTGCTTTATACTAAGCAAAGTCAACTGTACTGAAGTCACTAAAGGACTCAATTTGGCCTGCTGTGCCAAAACAAATATGTTTTAAAGGAGTGATCTGATGTAATTATATAAAAAGTAGAACTCCTACAAATTCAGTGGGAACAATGTTCTGTTGCTCTATGCAAAGCTGATCTGGCAAATCATGGATTGAAGAAATGGTCAGTGGAGGATTAAATTAGTCTAACCTCCAGTGGGATCATGAAAGGAATAACAAGTGTATCCACATAAAACTGGTAAGCACTGACATAGTCCCTTGTATATAACAATCCTCAAGTATTTGTGAGTAGCAAACAAGACAGTCTGGTTTGGATTGGGTTGATTTTGTTATTTCTTTCTTTCTTTTTTTTTTTTGTTGGCAGATCTCCAGTGCAGCAATGTCTGGGATGAACTGTGTGAGTCAAATAGAGCTGTATCTAGCCTAAAACTGTATATAGCTTATAACTGCATATAAGTAAGAAATGAGAAAGCTTGTGACCGCTCTGCCAGGGGAAAGATTTTTAATCCTTACCTGTTGCTGAAACTAATGCTTAAATGGGAATGTCTGTGCATAATGGAAGGGTCTTAGTATGTAACCCTGGACAACCTGTAGAAAAATGGTACAGTACAATGTAGAAAGGAAGGCGGAGCGAGGTGGTTAGGCACAGATTTACATCCAAGTCTGCAGGGCTTTGGTTTGGATTTCTTCTATTTGTTGTTTTTATTGGGTTATGTTTTGACCTCCTGCAGGCATGTAGCTTTCATTAGATTCTATGTGCATCCAGGGGAAAATGCAATGTGGGGTACTTATCTGGGTTTATACTTGTTCTCTGCTGTTAAAATTAATAAACCTTCATTGTTTTTTTCAGCCCCAGAGGCTTTTATTGTGGTTACGTGTTATTTAGGAACTGTATTTAAAATCAAATCTAGGAACAGAGCGGTGTGCTGGGTTCAGTGCACAGATACAGCAGCAAAAGATTAATAAACTTGACCCTTTCCTGTGTTATTAAAAAAAAAAAAAGAAGAACAAAACAACACAAACCAACTGAACCGTTTGAAAAAGTGGAATTAACCCCATTTTCAGCTTTCTGGGGGAGAGAAAGCAATATTTTTCCAAGACAATAAATTCTGTACTTCCTATCCCTTGAAACACTCAGCAGCAGGAGCCAAGGAGCGCCTTCCTCACAGCTTTTGGGGATGGATACAGCAGCAACGAGTGGCACGAAGCCCACCTTCTCCACGTGCTGTGGGAGCAGAAATCCCTGTGTTGTAGGAGGGGAAATTCAGAAGTCTGGGGCGACCGTCCTGCCTTTGAAATGAAATGCCATTACTTCTGGGCATTGTGAGGCCATTGACACAAACAGCCACGTGCTACCCAAGGCTTTTTGCAGCTGGTGTTGGCTGGGCACCTTTGGTTGGTTGGTTTGTTCTTAAGGTCGGTTTCATGGCTCTGACACAGCATTCCCAGGCCGTCACCATCCGGCACACTGTCACCATCCCGCCGCCTCTTCACGACACCTGGATCTCCCGTGGAGCAGCAGCAGCAGCACCGCTTCCCTGCCAACACACCCGGCAGGTGCTGTGCCCGGTTTGATGCCCCTCCCCACCACAGATGGGGGTCTTCGCACCAGCGACCGTTACAACCGCCGCTACGCACGCGGGAGGCGCCTCGGCGCCCCGCCCTCCCGGTCGCACCGCCGCCGCTCGGCCCGCAGATGGCACCAGACCTCGGCTGCTGGCACGGACCCCGCGCACGCATCCGCCCGCACACGCCCGCAGCCGCTGACGGAGCCCGGCGGGAGCTGCTGGTTCTCCCATCCGCCGCCTCTCCGACCGCCGCCCGAGCAGCGGCAGCGGCGCGAAGAAGAGGAGGAGGCGGCGGCGGAGCGCGGAGCTCCGTCCGGCAGCAGCGCGCGGAGGTAGGAGCTCCTTCACAGCCTCGGCGTGCAAAGTTCGCGGAGCTGCACCCCGCGGGAGGCTTTGCTGGGGTTCGGTAGCGCGTTCTTTGCCCTTGGTTGGCTTTGCCTGTGCCCGGCACGGGGTAACGCGTTCTGTCTGCGCTCTCGCCGCTGCTCCTCAGGGCTGGGCGGTTGGGTGGGTCTCGGCGGAGCTGCCATCTCCGCAGCCAGAAGTTGTCGAGAAACGCGAGGGGAGCGAAGCCCGGAGCCGGGTCTCCTCAAACTTCCCCGCTCGAGGAAGCGGCCCCCGCAGCGCCCCGCTCCTCTCCTCTGCTTGCAGATGTCGGGGATGCTGGTCATCGCTGCCTGGTGCTTCCTGCAAGTGGAGAGCCGGCATCCTGAGATCGTCACGGGGAGCAGCAATCACGGCAATTTCCTGGACAATGACAAATGGCTGAGCACCGTTTCGCAGTACGATAAAGACAAGTACTGGAACAAATTCAGGGATGTAAGTACGGCTTTGTTTGGCTCATACTTCGTGTTTGTACGTCTTCAGTGTGTGGCTGCTGGCTTTTAGAAGATGCGAGTGGAGGAGAGATGCAGCTTGGGCTGCTGCTTGTGCTGAGGATGCTCCGAGCCGTTTGGGAGCTGGGCAGGCAGTCCTGGCGTTCTTGGTTACCCCATCGCTCGGTATGCATGGGGCTCCACGTCAGTCTTATGGAGGCAGAACGCTCCTCGGCTCTCCTTCGGGGAGGAACTTTGTGAGAAGTTTCAGTGCCTGCTGCTTGAGGGGCTCGTTAACTGTAAATGATGAAAGAATGTGTCTGTGAGAAGGGAATATTTACCAGCTCGAGCCACAAGGTGGTAAACACGGAAGGTTGCTGTTGTGTTTTGTTTTTTGTTTTTTTTTCTGCCCGTAGATTTGTCAAAAAATATTTTATTGTCCATTCAGATCGTGGAGATTTTGGCAGTGGTGTATGTTTGGAGGAAGCGATGCTTTGACTCAGTGCTTTTCAGCCTAGAAAATAAGCATAACTTCAGTATGCATTGCATTGAATCTGCAGAAAACAAATCACGTTCTTAACACGGAGCTTTGAATTTCACTAGTTTGAACACGTTGGGGTATTGCACATAAGTGAGCAGGGAATGGAAAATGCAACGCTGCGATGCGTGTAACGTTTCTGGAGCTCCTTTTGCTTTCGTCGTCTGTCTGTCAAAAAAGCTTTGTTGGAGTGCACACAGAAAGGCCCGCTCCGTGTTCCTCAGGCTGGGTAGGGGAAACGTTGCTGTTGATAAGGAGCAGACTGGGGTTAAATGTTCTTGGCTGCATGGGATTTGTGTACGGTGGCTGCTGAGTGATCGTAGGAAAGGGAAGAGTGCGTAAGTGGCTGGCAGTTCTGCTAGTGCTGTGCTGTAAGTTAGCAGACTACTGACTGATTTATTCTCATTTAGGAAGCTCAGGTGCTTTACAATATATTGAAAAGTTAAAGTTTGATGTTATGCAGATTTCTCCATAGTCTTAACAATGTAGCTTATATTGCAAAAAAAGAAGCGTAAGTTGTTACAGTTAAATGTTGCCTGCATTTGCTTGGCTTATTCTCTATGTTCTTCTGTAGTTCTGTGTCTGAAAAATCATACTGAATTTCAGTGTAGCAAAGTATGGATTTATCTGTAGCACCAGCAGTTATATCAGAATGTGTATTTGCATGCAGTCTCTGTGATGACATTCACCTCTTGGGACTACTGGAGTTCTCATATAATAGATTCCTGGAAAAGCCAGCAGAGGAGAGGATGTTAATTTCTATATTCAACTTGATGTGACAATTCAGCACCATCTGAAAGTCATAAATTGAAAGAATAAAGTACAAATTCATCTAAAAATATTTTTAATCAGGGACAAAACTATAGCAGGAGACTCTTCACCTCCTTCAACACTTTTCTTCCAGATTGAGACTTTTTATTAAGTTATATTCATTGAACTTAATGATTTGTTTCCTTTTATGCCTTATATAAATAAATTTAAAGAAATCAAGAGTTCTTGCAACTTCTCTTCTGATCTTCTTTCCCCAGCCTCCAGTGTGATTGTCACAGACATGATGCTCTTCTTAGGTAGTGGAAGTTGGCAACCCTGTCCTCAGCAGGGGGTTTGGAGCTTGGTGATCATTAAGGTCTCTTCCAACTTAAGCCATTCTATGATTCTATATTCATTAATATTAATATTACCTCTTTCATGTTTTAAGGTTTCACAACTGAAAAAGATATTTTAAGACTTCCTGAAAATACGAACAAAATCTGTAAAGCCTGACTTCTCTCCCATAGGAAGAACTCTTAAACCAGTCCTCTGCCAAGCAGAAGCGAGTAATATAAAATCATGCAAATTTTAGATAACTTTCTATTCAGCTGTTTTAATGGTTCTCTTTAATTACTTCAAAACTAGCATGTTATAACTGTGTATGATTACCCATGAAACATTTTATGTGGCAAATTAATAGAGACTGCTAATCATCCTCTAAGCTTTTTCAAAGAGAAAATATATAAGCTTGCATACATAATTAAACTTTTAATAACATATTTTCAACTGAAGTAATTTTAGTGTATCATAATCTTCTGTGAGAGCTTCTGTGCACAGAGATGAAGACATGCATCTGTACAGTTTCTGCCAGCACGGAAGATGTAGTAATGACAGCACACTTCTTGCAGCAATGCAGAGATGTCATTGGAAGAAATCAGGTTCTTGCTTCATGGTTGAAATATCTTGGGGTAGACTGCATAAAAAGTGCTTTGTGAGAAGACACATGGCAGAATTAACCTCTAGGTATGGTGTAGATTAGCATTTTATTTGTAATTGTTGAATTGCAGGGAACTTATTTTCCTATCTTCCCTTTGTTCTCAGAGGGGTTCTCAATGTAACTATGCATCATTACTAGATGAAATTCTCAATGTGGGATATGTGCAAGAATCTGAAAGTGGTCTTACAGTTACTGCCTCCTTGGGTTGACAAAACAGCTGCTACGGAGCAGAGTGCCTTGGCCATACCCTACAAAGCAGCAGAAGCAATGTTGCAGGAACAATCATAACTGCCTTTAGTAGCTTTCCTAGTTGTAGGTCACGTTGTATACGTGATGTTGCACAAATATCTGCATAACTGTGTTCATGTGCACAGTAGGAAAAACACTGCGCATATGGAGCTCAGATTTGGTTGCTGTAGATGTGGCCACTTTAAACTGTTGTATGTAGTAAGCACGTGTTTGTGTTGCATGTAAATCTGCATTAATGTTGCACTACCACCTAGTCTCTTAACATGCAGAACACAACTGAATATAAGATCTTAAACTGGGGTTCTCTCATCTTTCTCAGTTACTCCTTTCAAAAATCAATTGGTTGGTCTGATATGGCCTGATTTGAGAGGACAATTTGTTTGTGGTTTGTTTTCTGTAGGACTCGTATTTCTGTTGGGCAAAGACAGGATGGTAGTTACACCTAACAGCCCAGCAGTCCTTATTCTTCTGTGAAAAGACAGCAAAAAGTAGCCCTCACTTTAAGTCTGTATTATATCCACATAATCAGGCTAAATTTGTCAGTCTGACTGAATTTTATAATGTAATCGTGCTCTGTAACGTTTTCAAGAGGCCAAAAGGGATCTCTTAAAAAAAACAAACAAACAAAAAAACTTCATATTTTAATCTTTTCATATGTCCTGACAACAATTTGTGCAATATTTAGTTGCTTCAATTTTAAAACAAGCAAAGCCTGTTAATGAATACTTAAGACCATGTAATGGATGTGTTGTGAAGCACTTGCTCTTGAAAATCTTGTAGATGGTCCAGCCATCAAGTATCAACAGTGGTGTGATGTCTTATTGATATGCTTTAAACATGGTCTGAACTTGATATTCCAGTCTTCTACCCCATTTTCCCAGTCTGTTGTGGGCTTTTGATATCATGAAAACAAATGCTAAGGTCTTCATCATTCAGTCAAATCTGTCAAGAGATTGGTTTAAGAGGAGCCTGAGTGCAAATTTAGCACCTGATTATGAAGTGAATCCTTAACGTCTTAGAAAGCACTCATATGTGGATAGCCATACACGTTATTGTGAACGTCTCATTGTGTTCATGGAGGCTTGGCACAAAATAAAACTCCTCTTAGTGTTAGACCTGTCTTCACCAAGATTACGTGAACACACTAATTCTGTTAATTCTGCTTGGACTTATGTCTGTTACATTATTAATGCTTGCATGAAAGAGGTGATAAGTTCAACTAGCTATAGATTAAACTGCAAAAATGGAAAAGAAAACTTAGAGGATGTAATACAAACCATATGAGGAATTTCTATGAAAAAAAAACACCATTCTGAAAGCGAAGAATACTGACATGAACTGGTTTCAGTGCATGTTTATGTATGAAAGGTTGCCAGACCATGTCTGAGCATTAACTAAGCCATTTCTCTGAATTTTACTGCTTGCAGTTTCAGTTCAGGCTATCATGTTAATATTCCCATGCATCATATGTCCTGAGGTGTTTTCAAGCTTTGCTTGCCTAATAAACAAGATGGGAAGTGTGTATATATAAATCTAATTGCACAAATTCATTGTAGGTAAATAG